ACCCCCAGGGGCGAGCCCAAGACGTGGTACGGGGTCCCATCGTTCGCGGCCGAGCACCTGGAGGAGGTGATGAAGAAGCTGACGCCAGAGCTGTTCGAGAGCCAGCCCGACCTCCTGCACCAGCTCGTCACCCTCATGAACCCCAACACGCTCATGGCCCACGGCGTCCCCGTGAGTTGGGGGTGTCCCCTGGGCCCTCCCGGAGCTGTCACACCCCCCCTGACCCCTCGGCTGTCCCCCTCCCAGGTGGTCCGGACCAACCAATGCGCCGGCGAGTTCGTCATCACCTTCCCCCGCGCCTACCACAGCGGCTTCAACCAGGGCTACAACTTCGCCGAGGCCGTCAACTTCTGCACCGCTGACTGGGTGAGCACTGGGAGGACACAAAATGTACTTGAGGGGGCTTAAAATGTATTTGGAGGGCACAAAAATGTACCTGGGGTGGGTCAAAATGTACCTGGGGAGGTTTAAAATGTACCTGGGGGCATAGAATGTTTGGGGGAATTAAAAAAAAAACAAATGTGAGAATGCGAAAAAATGTCCTTGGGAAATACTGAAATTTGTAGGTGGTGGCTATAAAATAACATGGGGAACCAAAAAATACCAAAGAAAACCCCCAGGAACTCCAGGCTGTGGTACCCTGGGTTTAGGGATTCAGCCCAGCTGGGGTTTAGGGCTGAATTTAGGGGGTGCCTCAGGTTTTGGGGAGCCCCCTGACCCCCCTCCCCAGCTGCCTGTGGGCAGGCAGTACATTGAGCACTGCCCGGTTCAGGCACACAGGGGGTTCCTCAGGTTTTAGGGTTTGGGTTGTGTTTTCCTGGGTGGGTTTGGGGTCCAGGGGGTTCCCCAAGTTTGAGGGTTTGGGTTGTGTTTCCTTGGCTGTGTTCAGAAAGTCCAGGGGTTCCCCAAGTTTGAGGGTTTGGGTTGTGTTTCCCTGGCTGTGTTGAGAAAGTCCAGGGGTTCCCCAGGTTTGGGGTTTGTGTTGTGTTCCCTGGCTGTGTTCCAGGGCTGTGTTTAAGGGGTTCCCCAGGTTTGGGGGTTTGTGTTGTGTTCCCTGGCTGGGTTCAGGGCTGTGTTTAGGGGATTCCCCAGGTTTTGGGGATTTGGATTGTGTTTCCATGGCTGGGTTTAGGGGGTCCAGGGCAATCCCCAGGTTTGGGGTTTGTGTTGTGTTTAGGGGGTTCCCCAGGTTTGGGATCTGGGTTCAGGGCTGTGTTTAGGAGGTCCAGGGGTTCCCCAGGTTTGGGGTTTGGGTTGTGTTTCCCGGCTGGGTCCAGGGCTGTGTTTAGGGGGTTCCCCAGGTTTTGGGGGTTTCTGTTGTGTTTCCTGGCTGTGTTCAGGGCTGTGTTTAGGGGTTTCCCCAGGTTTGGGAGTTTGTGTTATGTTCCTTGGCTGGGTTCAGGGCTGTGTTTAGGGGGTTCCCCAGGTTTGGGGTTTTGTGTTGTGTTCCCTGGCTGGGTTCAGGGCTGTGTTTAGGGGGTTCCCCAGGTTTGCGGTCTGTGTTCAGGGCTGTGTTTAGGGGGTCCAGGAGGTTCCCCAGGTTTGGGGTTTGTGTTGTGTTCCCCGGCTGGATTTAGGGCTGTGTTTAGGAGGTCCAGGGGGTTCCCCAGGTTTTGGGGAGCCCCCTGACCCCCCTCGCCAGCTGCCCGCGGGCAGGCAGTGCATTGAGCACTACCGGCGCCTTCGCCGCTACTGCGTGTTCTCGCACGAGGAGCTCATCTGCAAGATGGCAGCGAGCCCCGAGAAGCTGGACCTGAACCTGGCAGCTGCTGTGCACAAGGAGATGTTCGTGCTCGTGCAGGAGGAGCGCAAGCTGCGCAAGGCCCTGCTGG